AATTCAGTGCAGATCCTTTATTTTATTCGTTGCTATAAGAAACTAGAGGAATTCATTATTGCACTACCTCGTTACAACTCCATAACTTCGTTAATTTGTGCTGCCAGTCATCGGACGATTAGTGTACTCGGACTCTTGGTTCCTCAAACTTTATTATCCCTATTAGCTGAGGTTGTTTGATACTTCGCTGCCCCCGCAGTGACTTTTAGGGTCCTCACACGCTTTTATCAATATGAATGACAAGCTTAATTATACAGCGCTTTAAAAAATCACTGTTACTGTTTTAGGCGCATTTCCCTTTCATCTTGACTTACCTTGTCTTTTAGTGAATAAGTTGAAATTAGAATTGTGCGGCGACCTGATAGGCATCGTCTGAAATAAAAATATAAAAGCATAAGATGTGCTCAAAGGGGGGTCAAAATGTGCGGGAAAGATTTCGGGTACAATTATTCATAAAATTGAAAATGTCGGCGAAAAGCTTTCGCCCGATTCAGTTCAAGCAATTTTTCGATTTGAGATACACAATCGAGTTGGAGCATGGCCCATTCCGATGGACAGTGGTCAAGAGGAACAAGGATTTTGCAGTGCTTGCTGCGCGGTTGCTGACACATCGTGCCGCGGAGCGAATACGAGCTCCTGTCCGAAGGTTGCTAATTTTCATGGATTTCTAGCATCGCTTCCTTATCTCGGATCTGCTGTTGGGAGGCTGAAAATTGGGCACCATTTAATTACCCTAAAAAGCAGGTGCTTTGAGTAGCATTTAACATTTTGGCGCATTATGCGTCCCTGGCTTTATTCGTGATACTGTAATTTCAGTTCCTGAAATACTTATTGGCACTGTTTCAATTATTGAAACTTCATCTAATGTTTTCATTTAGGCTGCGATATGGAAAGGAACTGTAATTTTTTTTTGCTCGTTTTTTTTTCGTTGTTTCGTATGCCGGCCGCAGCATTTTCCTCTCCCCTTCCACTCTTGCTTCTGGCATTTCGACAGAAAATTTTTCAATTCCAAGATAGTCTTGTTTGGGACTTGCTTTCGAGCAACGGTCAAAATTTTTTTTAAAGAATTAAGCATTTTTACAATGAGTGAGTGAGTGGTGTATTGCTAGATGGTTAGCTCAAAAAATGTGAAGAAATTAACTCGCCGAATTGCCTTGTCAAAACTTTTACTCAATTAGACCGTCGAATTACGATGTCGACCCCTAACTTTTATGGCACTCAAGAAAATTGTCTTGATGGCGGTTCCGAGAACTTTTCGTTCAGAAGTTTTGTATGAACACCGCCAGTACACGTGGGGTGCTCAAAGCCATTACACGTATGAGTAGTACACCACAGTGCACGCACAGTGCTTGTGTATCTGCTTGTTCGCTTAAAAAGTATCATTGCATGTGCACTCGTTGTGTCACCGTTGAGCGTTTGTACTTTTTCAGCTATGCACCACCGAATTCCACTACCTTTTTTGTACTAGTACTTGGAATATGAACTTCAATTCAGTTCTGAAGCCACCAATTTGCCCTGTTGTTTTGCACAGTGCTATAGCCTTTAGCCTTTGGCAATCCTAAAGTTTGATTGGCCTTCGAAAGGGTCAACGAATTTCCCGCACAAAAGCACTTGGCATAGCTTTAGCCGTTTCCAGATGACCATAACGCATATTGAACAACATTATACAAGCACTTCCAGATGGCAGCCGATCGTTACTGAACTGCTTAGATAGCGGGAAAGTTGAAATAATGTTAGGTGCACAGAAAAGTTGAAATTGTCGTTATGTTGTGTCGTGTGACAATACTTCCCCTGTGTTGTTTCAT